AACCCAGGAGGCAGAGGTTGCAGTGAGCTGAGATAGCACCACTGCAACTCTGGCCTAGGTGACAGAGTGAGACTCCATCTCAAAAAAAATAAAAAAAAATACATGCATGAAAAATGTTTCTAAGAGTGCTAAAAAATGCCTACAAATTTTGATAAGGAAAAATAAATAATGGTCAAATATATGAACAAGCACACTCATAATGACAAGAAGAGCCTCTCCTTCTCTAATAAGAGAGGAAATGCAACTTTGAAAGTGAAGTATAATCTTACATTCAGTATCTTAAAAATGCAAGTGCTGCTGAGGTTGTAGAGCAACCAGAACTCTGGAACTATTGTTTGAGGTGGAAGCTGGTAGTCAAGATTGAGCAATTTAGCATCTTAAAACTGATGACACCCACTGTCCAGGACACAGAAATTCCAACTCTACGTGTTACCTAGAGAAACTCTCATCCACGGGTATAAGAATGTCTTTGGAGCATGGTTTGAGATAGTGACAAACTGGAAACAAATCCATTGTCAAAAAAAATAGAGTAGGCCGGGCACAGTGGCTCAAACCTGTTATCCCAGCACTTTGGGAGGCTGAGGTGGGCCAATCTCTTGAGGTAAGTAGTTCAAGACCAGCCTGGCCAACATGGTGAAATTCCATCTCTACTACTAATAATATGAAAATTAGCTGGGCATGGTGGCAGGCACTTGTTATCCTAGTTACTTGAGAGGCTGAGGCAGTAGAATCGCTTGAATTCAGGAGGCGGAGGTTAAAGTGAGCCAAGATTGTGCCACTAGACTCTAGCCGGAGTAACAGAGTGAGACTCTGTCTTCAAACAAACAAACAAACACAACGGAATAAATATACTCGAGGTATATGTAGACACTATTTTATTTTATTTTTTGTTATTTCAACTTTGTTTTTTACCTGCCTCCCGGATTCAAGCGATTCTCATGCCTCAGCCTCCTAAGTAGCTGGGATTCCAGGTGCCTGCCACCAAGCCTGGCTAATTTTTGTATTTTCAGTAGAGACAGCGTTTCACCATGTTGGTCAGGCTGGTCTCAAACTCCTGACCTCAACTGATACCCCTGCCTCAGACTCTCAAAGTGCTGGGATTACAGGAGTGAGCCATTGTGCCTGGCCAAATGTGTTTTTAAACATTGCCTGGCCCGTTATTTCAACTTTTATTTTAGAATCAAGAGGTGCATGTACAGGTTTGTTACAAAGGTATATTGCATGATGCTGAGGTTTCCAGTATGAAAGAATTCATCACCCAGTTAATGAGCACAGTACCCAATAGAAAGTTTTTCAACCTTTGTCCCCTTCCCTCCTTCACCCTTTTGGATTCCCCAGTGTCTCCTGTCACCATCTTTATGTCCATGTTCACCCAATGCTTAGCTCCCACTATAGGCGAGAACATACGTTATTCGGTTTTCTGTTTCTGCATTAGTTTGCTTAGGATAATGGTTTCCAGCCATATCCATGTTGCTGCAGAGGACATGATTTTATTCTTTTTTTATGGCTGCATAGCACTTCATGGATACACAGCATTTTCTTTATATTTTATTTTCTTTTTTGATATAGACAGGGTTTCATCATGTTGCCCAGGCTGGTCTTGAACTCCTGGGCTCACGTGATTCACTTGCCTTGGCCTCCCAAAGTGCTGGGATTACAGGCATGAGCCACCACACCCAGCCTGGCTGACAAGGCAGAACCCCATCTCTACTAACAATAATACGAAAATTAGCTGGGCATGGTGGCAGGCGCCTATAATCCCAGCTACTTGAGAGGCTGAGGCAGGAGAATCACTTGAATTCGGAGGCAGCATTTTAAATGAGTGATCTGGTGCAACTTGTATCATCATGAAAAGATCCAGAAACCCATTATGAGGCGTAATGAAAGGAATTTGCTGCAGGATATATACAGTATATCATTAAAATACATTTTCCAAATAAGCAAAGTATGTTACTTTGGGATCAGGAAGACAAGGAGCTTCAACTCTTAAGTGTAATGTTTAATTTGTCATTAAAACAAACAAACAAAATCCAAAGAAAGCAGAGTCATGTAGTAATATCTGACAAAACTGAGTGGTGGAGACATCAATGTTCTTAATGTTATTCTCTATACTTTTCTTCATGTTTCTAATATTTCTTTAAAAAAAGAAGAAATGGGATTTATAAAGTCAACCATCTTCCTACATACAAGCTACAATTTGGTAATATACTTTTAAAACTCAGCCTGGCACGGTGGCTCATGCCTGTAATCCCAGCACTTTGGGAGACTTGAGGTGGGTGGATCATGAGGTCAGGAGTTTGAGACCAGCCTGGCCAATATGGTGAGACCCTATCTCTACTAAAAATACAAAAATTAGCTGGGCACGGTGGTGGTCGCTTGTAATCCCAGCTACTCGAGAGGCTGAGGCAGGAGAACTGCTTGAACCTGAAAGGCAGAGGTTGCAGTGAGCTGAAGATTGCATCATTGCACTCCAGTCTGGGTGACAGAGCAAGACACTGCCTCAAAAAAAATTTTTTTTAATCATACAAGTTGCATAATGACAACAATTTGCACAATGACAAGCAACTGTGGAAAAAAATCTAGAAACCTATGTTTTAAAAGCAACTAGGAGTCTAAGGTATAGCATTTCCCTGTCTGAGAGCAGGAAGGGCTTGAATAGGTGTTAATGTCCTTCAACGGGCTCTTGAAACTAACTCAGGGCCCTACACGCTGCAGGCATTTCTTGGAGTAGCCAAGGCATTGTCATGTGTCAAGAACTCTGAGGGCCGGGTGAGGTGGTTCACACCTGTAATCCCAGCAATTTGGGAGGCAGAGGCAGGCAGATCACCTGACTTCAGGAGTTTAAGACCACGTGGCCAACATGGAGAAACCCTGTCTCTACTAAAAATATAAAATTAGCCAGGAGTGGTGCTGCACAACTGTAATCCCAGGTACTCAGGAGGCTAAGGCAGAAGAATCGCTTGAACCTCGTAGGTAGAGGTTGTGGTGAGCCAAGATCGCACCATTGCACTCCAGCCTGGGCAACAAGAGTGAAACTCCATCTCAAACAAACAAACAAACAAACAGCAACAACAAGAAAAACTCTGAGAAGTTCTCGGATAATATTTGTGCAGCTTTCTTTACTTCAGCAGTTTTCAAACATGTAACAATAGACTCCTTCTTGTCTGAGGGGAGCTGCCTCAGGAAAGGCTGCCCTAACAGCCTCAAAGTTCCCTCCAACTCCCACAGTCCACCATTCTAGTCTCGGCTCCGCTACTAATTTACTGTGTGACTGGCTGAATCACCTTTCCTCTTGGGGCCCCGGTGTGCTGCTGAAATAAATCAGAGATGATACCAACAATGCAAAAACATTCCATGCTCATGGATTAGAAGGATTAATATCATTAAAATGTTCATGCTGCCCAAAGCAATCTACAGATTCAATGCTATTCCCCTCAAACTACCAACATCATTTTTCACTGAAGAAAGAACTATTCTAAACTGTGTATGGAACCAAAAAAAGAATCCAAATAGCCAAAGCAATCCTAAGCAAAAAGAATAAAGCTGGAGGCCAGGCGTGGTGTCTCATTCCTGTAATCCCAGCACTTTGGGAGCCTGAGGCAGGCGGATCACCTGAGGTTGGGTGTTCAAGACCAGCCTGACCAACATGGTGAAATCCCGTCTCTACTAAAAATACAAAATTAGCCAGGCATTATGGTGCACGCCTATAATCCAAGCTACTCGGGAGGCTGAGGCAGGAGAATCGCTTGAACCCAGGAGGCGGAGGTTGCAGTGAGCCAAGATCGTACCATTGCATTGCAGCCTGGGAGACAGAGTGAGACCGTTTCTAAATAAATAAAACAAAATAAAAATTTTAAAAAGTTTAATTAAAAAATGGGCATGTATAGTTTGAACTACAGGATCTCTTACCTTTTCCCAGCTGTGAAACCTCATGTTGGACTGCACATTTAGGGGCTTATTTAGGGGTTTAGTTTTATTTCTCCTCCCCCACTTAACTGTTTCTTACTTAACTAAAGCAGGTTCATGGTAGAGGAATTACAAAATGCAGAGAAGAATGATAAAACAGAATTAAATCGGGCTGGGTGTGGTGGCTAACACTTATAATCCCAGTGCTTTGGGAGGCCAAGTTGGGAGGATCATTTCAGGGTAGGAGTTTGAGACCAGCCTGGGCAACACAGTGAGACCCTCATCTCTACAGAAAATTTTAAAACTTTAAAAAATTAAAAAGAAAAAGTTAGCCAGGCATGGTGGTGTGTGTCTACGGCCCTGGCTACTTGTGAGGCTTAGGTGAGAGGATGGCTCGAGCCCGGGAATTTGGGGCTGGAGTGCTTTTTGACTATGCCACTGCACTCCAGCCTGGTGACACAGCAAAACCCTATCTCTTAAAAACAAATCAAATTATTCCGAATGCCACTTTGGGCTCTTTATAATGATAGCTGACATTTACAGAGCCTTTATGTGCAAAGCGTGGTGCTAGGATATCTCGTTTAACTTCTCGCTGAGGTGCAAGTCAAGTCTATTCTTTTTTTTTTGATATGGAGTTTCACTCTTGTTACCAAGGCTAGAGTATGGCAATGGCCCGATCTTGGCTCACTGCAGCCTCCACATCCTGAGTTCAAGTGATTCTCCTGCCTCAGCCTCCTGAGTAGCTGGGATTACAGGCATGCACCACACCCAGCTAATTTTGTATTTTTAGTAGAGCCATGTTGGTCAGGCTGGTCTCGAACTCTCGACTTCAGGTGATCGGCCCGCCTCGGTCTCCCAAAGTGCTGAGATTACAGGCGTGAGCCACTGAGACTGGCCCATTCCTATCCTCATTTTACAGATGAGGAGACTGAGGGTCAGAGAGGTAAAGTCACCTGTCCAAGGTTATACTGTGGTTGTAGCTCTAACCAAAGCCCTTCTGACTGCAGCACAAATTCTCAGCCACTACCGTATTAGCCCCTTATTTGAAGGCGTCTTTGTCACTGCCAAGATTCTTTTTCCTCCCGGCCCCCCAGGTCTTCAAGATTTTCTCATCTCATCTCCCCAGAGGAGCCACGACATCATCTCCTTCCAAAACAAAGTCAGAACCTTCACTGTAGACGGACCAGTGTTCTTCCCCCAAACTCAGTCCAGCTTATCTCCAGAAAAACTATATGACTCGCCCTGGAGAAGAGAAAAAAAAGCCTCTCCCCACCAACTTCACCCCACAAATCACTGGATTTGAGGCTGGAGACAGAAGAATTGAACGTGTGCTTAAGTTTCAAATTGACTATTGTTTTATGTGAATGTCTGATAAAGAAAATACAATGGCTGCCAGCTGGGGGCTGGGAGTGAGATTTCCCATGCGGAGAATTCTAAAAGACGTGCCTGGAGTTCTGGAGTCTGGATCCTCTGGACAGACAGGTGGAGACACCAAAGGTAATTGTGGGGTGGGGAGAAGACATCAACCCAAGAGATTTGACTGCGTTTGGTCTATGCAAGAATGGAAAATGGAGGCAGAATGAGTTAGCAGCAAGCTTGTATGCTGCTGTAGAATCCAAGGGGCTTGGCCAGTGCCGGCCAATCAAAGTAGAACGTGAGCCACAGACAATTTACGCCGTTCTTGTAGTTGCTTAAAAACATGGTAAATCTATGAAACAGAAAGATTGTTCATGCAGGTAAATGAACTTCTCTTTGGTCTCAGTGATCAGGGATCCCAAATTCAATCGCCCTCAATACCCAAAGAAGTAACTGAAATAAGTGGAACAGATAGGGTGTGAGCAAAGTTCACACATTCCCATAAGAAAAGCTATGCAGCAAACATATTGATGTATGTTCATTAATAAGTTTCAGTGTGGGGACACTAAGGCATAGTGGAGACTATGGCAAATCAGAGGAAGCTGCGTATCTAAAGTAGCTCCCGGAGATTGCTGCTTCATGGGGTATCAGTGTTGCTAGAGCTTTCACTTTTTTGAAAGGAGGTGAAAGTTGGAATTTTTTTTTTTTTTTTTGACGGGGTTTTGCTCTGTCATCCAGGCTGGAGTACAGTGGCATGATCTTGGCTCATTGCAACCTCCACCTCCTGGGTTCAAGAGATTCTTCTGCCTCAGCCTCCTGAGTAGCTGGGACTACAGGCAGGTGCTGCCATGCCTGGCTAATTTTTGCATTTTTAGTAAAGATGGGATTTCACCATGTTGGCAAAGCTGGTCTCGAACTCCTGATCTCATGATCCACCTGCCTCAGCCTCCCAAAGTGCTGGGATTACAGGCATGAGCCACAGTGCCTGACCCCTAGTTTTTTTAAAATTTAATCTTTAAAATGAGATTGCACCACTGCAAACCAGGCTGGGCGACCGACGGAGACTCCATCTCAAAAACAAAAACACAAAAACACAAAAACACCTAGGCGGAATGGATCTTCACCTCTGGTCTCCTTTAAACCCTTGACCATGTTTAAAAGAGGAGGAAACTGAGGTTCGGAGTGGTTAAATACATTCCCATCTCAAAGAAGATCAAGAACTGTCTCTTTAGGTTTCTATTCCAGGTCATTTCTGCTATGAAATAAAACAAACATGGAGTTTTTGCTGTTCTTATTGAGAGTTTACTAGATGGCAGGTTCTGTGCAGGACGTATTAGGAAAACCCCACAAAGCACGGACACTTTTTGATGCCCGGTTTAGAGAGGGGGTAAGAAGCCTCAGAAAAGTGGGGTAAACTGCACCAGATCATGCAGTGGGGCTTGAATCTGTGTCTACATTTGATTACCAGATTCTAGATGCTTCTTGCTACATCCCCTTCTACCCAACCAGGCTGAGGAAACTCAGAAACCAAGAAGCTGGGTGGTTTTCACCCTGAGGCTCCAGAGGGGGCAGCCTCTGTGCCTCTGCCCTTGCTTTCACCCAGGCACCTCCGTGTGTCATTGCTGTGAAGGGGCTGCTGGGGAAAATTCTGTTTGAAGGAAGCCTTCACTGCCTTTTTTTTTTTTTTTGAGATGGAGTCTTGCTCTGTTGCCCAGGCTGCAGTGTAGTGATTTGATCTCAGCTCACTGCAACTCCTGCCTCCTGGGTTCAAGCAATTCTTATGCCTCAGCCTCCAGAGTAGCTGGGACTACAGGCATGCACCATCCTGCCCTGCTAATTTTTGTATTTTTAGCAGTGATGGGGTTTTACCATGTTGGCCAACCTGGTTTTGAACTCCTGACCTCTGATAATCTGCCCACCTCGGCCTCCCAAAGTGATGGGATTACAGGCTTGAACCACCGCACCTGGCCCTTCACTGCCTTTTAAAAAACTGTTTGAAAGCCACTAATCTGCCATAGCCTCCTAACTTATAAGTGAGGAAGCTAAGACCTACAGATGGCAGAGACCCTGTGCATGTCAAGACTAGAGCTGGGACCACAGCCTGGGTCTCCTTGCTCCAACCCTGTAGGCAGCTGAGTTCACCTGGGAAGCTGCCTGGGGAGCACCCAGGCCTCCCTCCAGCTTCTCTGGCTCTTCCCAGGACAGGGCGCCCTCCTCTCTCCCTGTCTCCTCACCTTCCCCACCCTTCCTCATGTCTGTTTGGACAACTTTCCGACCTGCTCCTTCAGAACTCTTCTGGAGGTATGGCTGCCTCCACTGCTTGTCCCAGGGAATTCGTTGGCAGTTTGGCAGCCCAGGCTCAGCCAGGCCCACGGCAGACAGTTGTCAAATAGTGACTGTCTGGGCAGAAGGAGGCCTGTTTACCCAGGGCAAGGCCCAGGCAGAGGCTGCCGTTTCCTCCCTCCACCCCTGGCCTGACCAGCTGCTCACCCTACTGACTCAGCTGTCCTCATCTGTATTTGCTCATTCCACAAATATTTACAGAGCACCTACTGTGTGACAAGCACTGTTCTACGTGCTGGGGATACAGCAGGGACAAGACAGCCTAACTCCCTGCTGTCATGGATCTCCTGTGAAGGAGACAGGTGATAAACAGATCAGGAATGTGTAATTTCAGTGCTGTAGAGGATAATGGAATTGCCAGTGAGGGATGGAGGTGGGGCAGGCTTAGATTTGGGTGCTCAAGGTAGGCTGCTCTGCGTGGAGGACATTGGAACTAAGGCCCTACTGATGAGAAGAAATCAGCTATGTGAAGATCTGGGAGAAGGCATTCCTGGAAGAGGGAATTCCTACTAGGTGCGAAGTCCCAGTGGCAGGAATGTGCTTGGTGTGATTGAAGGATTGTCAAAAGGCCAGTATGGCTGCCTGCAGTAAGCAAAAGGGAGAAAGATGAGAGTCAGAGCCTGTGGGGGCATTTTGGTTAAAGAAAAGAGCTCATGGCTGGGTGTGGTGGCTCACGGGAGGCCAAGGTGGGTGGAACACTTGAAATCAGGAGTTCAAGACCAGCCTGGCAACATGGTGAAACCCTGGAGTTCGAGACCAGCCTGGCAACATGGTGAAACCCAGGCTCTACTAAAAATACAAAAATTAGCCAGGTGTGGTGACACACGCCTATAATCCCAGCTTCTCGGGAGGTGGAGGTTGCAGTGAGCCAAGATCATGCCACTGCACTCCAGTCTGGGTGACAGAGTGAGACTCTTTCTCAAAAAAGAAAAGAAAAAGAGCTCGGGTTGTATTTGAAGGGCGATCCAAAGGTGTTAGAGGAGTTTCAACTGGGATGTGAAACGTGGCTGTACCCTGATTTCTCTAACTCTGCCCATTCATTACTTCCCGACCCAACTGTTTCCAGGTATATTTGAGGTTGTTTGAAATAATGTTTGGCCAGGCGAGGTGGCTCATCCCTGTAATCCCAGCACTTTGGGAGGCCGAGGTGGGTGAATCACAAAGTCAGGAGTTCGAGACAAGCCTGGCAAACACAGTGAAATCACATCTCTACTAAAAATACAAAAAAGTTAGCCAGGCATGGTGGCAGGCGCTTATAATCCCAGCTACCTGGGAGGCTGAGGTAAGAAGAATTGCTTTAACCTGAGGGGGCGGAGGTTGCCACAAGCCGAAATCACATTACTGCACTCCAGCCCAGGTGACAGTACGAGACTCTATCTCAAAAAAAAAAAAAAAAAGGGAATAGTGTTTAATTATTCCCTTTCCTTTTACATTTTCATTTTCCTTTTTCTTTTTTTTTGAGACAGGCTGTCATTATCATCCAAGCTGGAGTGCAGTGGCGTGATGTGTGTTCACTACAGCCTTGACCTTCCAGGCTCAAGCAGTTCCCCCACCTCAGCCTCCAAAATGCCAGGATCATAGGCATGAGCCACTGTGACTGACCCTTTTTTTTTTTTTAGACAGAGTCTCATTCTGTTGCCAGGCGCCAGGCTGGAGTGCAGTGGCACAATCTCGGCTCACTGCAACCTCTGCCTCCTGGGTTCAAGCAATTCTGCCTCAGCCTTCCAAGTAGCTGGGACTACAGGCACATGCCACCACGCCCAGCTAATTTTTGTATTTTTAACAGAGACGGGGTTTCACCATGTTGGCCTGGATGGTCTCAATCTCTTGACCTCGTGATCTGCCCGCCTCGGCCTCCAAAAGTGCTGGGATTACAGATATGAACCACTGTGCCCAGAACCCCCACTTTTTTTTTATAGAGATGGGGGCTCACTATGCCACCTGTGCTGGAGTGCAATGGCACAGTCATAGCTCACTGCAGCCTCCAATTCCTGGGCTCAAGTGATCCTTCCACCTCAGCCTCCCAAAATGCTGAGATCACAGGTGTAATTCTAGATGCTTCCTCCACGGCAGCTGGCCCAATTTTTATTTTTTTATAGAGATGGGGGGTCTCATTCTGTCACCCAGGCTGGAGTGCAGTGGCACAGTCACAGCTCACTGAAGCTTCCAATGCATGAGCTCAAGCAATCTGTCCACCTCAGCCTCTCTAGTAGCTGAGACTACAGGTAAATGCCACCATGCCCACTTAATTCTTTTTTATTTTTTAATCCAAGCTGTATATGTACACAATTGAAAAAGTCAAATCCTACAAGGATTATAACAGCAGCAGCTACCCACCGGCTCTCCCAGATCTGATTGCTGTCACCCAGAGGCGACAACTGGCAATATTTTAGCTGGGGTTTTCCCCACTGGTGCTTCCTCTTGATTGTATTTCTAAAATCGTGATTATATTGACTGCTCAAGAAATCAAGACTTCTTGATTTTTCAGTTACAGATGTAATGTATTCACCTGCTAGTAAGAAAGTCCTATGTAACTTTATCCCAATCTGGAGATAAATCAATAAATCAATATTTTCTTTTCTTTTTTTTGAGACGGAGTTTTGCCCTTGTTACCCAGGCTGGAGTGCAATGCCTCGATCTTGGCTCACCGCAACCTCCGCCTCCTGGGTTCAGGCAATTCTCCTGCCTCAGCCTCCCGAATAGCTGGGATTACAGGCACGCGCCACCATGTCCAGCTAATTTTTTGTATTTTTAGTAGAGACCGGGTTTCACCATGTTGACCAGGATGGTCTCAATCTCTTGACCTCGTGATCCACCCGCCTCCACCTCCCAAAGTGCTGGGATTATAGGCGTGAGCCACCGCGCCCGGCCTATCTTGTTTTTTTATATGGAGTTTAGCTCTTGTTGCCCAGGCTGGAGTGCAATTATGCAATCTTGGTTCACCACAACCTCCGCCTCCTGGGTTTAAGGGATTCTTCTGCTTCAGCCTCCCGAGTAGCTGGGAGGAGAGGCATGCACCACCACACCCGGCTACTTTTGTATTTTTGGTAGAGATAGGGTTTCTCCATGTTGGTCAGGCTGGTCTCGAATGCCTGACCTCAGGTGATCCACTTGTCTCAGCCTCCCAGTGTTCTGGGATAACAGGCATGAACCACTGTGCCCGGCCAGATGAATCAGTATTTTCAATTGCATAACCACATTACTATCATTGCTATTAGTCACCGCTGACTTTGTATGTGAATCAAAGACTTTCCACGCACTGTTTCAATTCATCCACACTGTAACACGATAATGTAGCTTTGATCAACATCTTAACAATATATACTAACATTTTACATTCAAGAAATTCTTTGCAGTTTGCAGGACACTCTTGCCTCTATCCCCTTGAGCAGCAGAGCTACCCTGAGGGATAAAGAGAACCGGCATTGTTAAACCCATTTTCAGAGAAGGATGTGGATCCCAGAATAATACAGAAAATTCTGCTGATCCCAGTAGCGCCCAGTGTTCAAATAAAATCCTTCTTCCTGGCTGGACACGGTGGCTAATGCTTGTAATCTCAGCATTTTGGGAGGCCAAGATGGGTGGATCACTTGAGGTCGTGAATTCGAGACCAGCCTGACCAACATGGTAAAACCCTATCTCTACTAAAAATACAAAAATTAGCCAGGCATGGCGATGCAAATCTGTAATCCCAGCTACTCAGGAAACTGAGGCACGAGAATCGCTTGAACCCAGGAGGCAGAGGTTGTGGTGGGCCATGATTGCATCACTGCTCTCTAGCCTGGGCCACAGAGTGAGACCCTGTCTCAAAACACACACACACACACACACACACACACACACACACACATTCTTTCTCAAAAAAAAAAAAAATAGAGCTCATGTTCCACATGGCAGGGAAGGAGTGGGGACCCTGGATAAATGCATGAAGGAGATAAAC